ATGAAGATAACATTCTTTCGCACACTGCTCTCACAACATCGCTCTCACGCGACTCGCTTCTCGCTCTTCACGCTTCTCTCTCTCTCGCGTCTTCTCGCACACGCCACGCACAAGCTAAAACTACTTAATTCTTACATTCATGAATAAGCAGAAAAATGAAAAAATGAAAGTGATTAATGTAATGCACATGGCGCACACTTTATCTCTCAACGTGTAATATGTCGTAAAATTATGAAATGTGGTGCGTGGGGGTGGGGGGTGTCCGGTGGTGGGGGGGGTGGGGTGTGTGTGTGGGGGGTATGTGGGGGGGTGGGGGTGGGGTGGGGGGTGTGGTGCATGTGTGTGTGTTGTGTGTGTCCAACACAACTCACTCCTCTTTCGAACATGTACCTCGTTGCTCGCAGTTTTAAATAATGTCACACCTCAAAGTCATTTTTCCCAACCAACATTCTCCTTTCTCGCTCGCGCTCCGCGATGATTTTGGGCATAGTTTCCTTCACTTGAGGATCTTTAGATGTATGCACTTTTTTAAAACAGTTGAGTAGTAACTCGCCCATGGAATGGATGGAATATTATTGTTCTAATGGGTTTAGAGCATCATCAAATATTACAACAGTGCGTTATACATCTTTAAACCCCGAAGCAACTAGTGGTCAATAGAGTACAGATTTTTTCACATTATTTGTAATGATTATGTAAATTAATAATAATAATGTGTAAATTATGCATTTCTGATTATTAAACTATCTTGTGAAAAACTCTGTCATCAAACCAATTGGAATAGGGTGTGTATATCTATCTTATAGTATCTCACAAACCAACTTTATAAGTAAAATTAATTGTTTTGTTGAAAAAATGGCCAATAGTGTGCTTAGCTGCGCTGAATCTATATATCGTATTGACATACATTGCCTTTACATCAAAGCTTGGAGGTTCTTTAGCTTCAAAATCATTGTATGTTCACACACTTTAATAAGCACAGAATTAACTAACCATAGAGAAAATATTGTTACATACAGTATTTAGAGATCATCTTATTTAACATGATGGTTAATATTTCTTTCTGGAGTATGTTCAGTCAATATTCGTATTATAAATTTAAATAGATGTGAAGGTGTAAATTAATTTTTTCCTGTTGTAATTATATGTTGATTCTACTTTCTACAATGTGCAGTACATAGGATATGTATTATGTAAAATGCTGAGTTTTATAATGTAAGATGTGAATTTGAGAAAAAACCTGTGAGTACATTGCCTTATTTTAAATTTCCTTTAAAAATGCTTTGTAACGCTGTGTGTGTTTAGTGTAATTTAAATGTTTTTCACTGCTAATGAATATTTCATTTCTTCAGGTGGAGGATATAAAACAAGAGGTGGACATGTACGGTGAAGAGGCCCAGGATTGTTTATCTGTTGAGGCAGTGGAGGAGGAATGTCTGGATCCTCTTGGTATGCCAGTAGCTTGCACATCTAATTCTATAGCCAAAGATATTGATGATCCTGATGTTGAAGTGGTTCCACAGACAGCAGGTGATGTTTGTCATTTGAGAATTACTGATATCAAGACGGAATGCGGAGATGTTATCCCTGTTGGTGATGTGACAGTTGAACCGACTGAGGGCAGATTATTGCGCAGTGTGCTTCAAGGTAAAGCAAACATACCCATGTATGTCAAAAAGGTACCACCAGAACCACAACTTGCTTATCCGACGGTCAAACCTTTTAATTGCCGTCTTTGTGATAAATCTTTTTCATATGCTTATCTTTTAAAAAGACATCAAAAGACACATAAAGGTGATCGAAATGTTTGTGCTTTCTGTCAAAAAGGTTTCTCAACTCATGCTTCACTTGTTCAACATGTTCGATTCTTTAATGGAGTAACTTCATCTCCATATACTTGTGATCATTGTCAACAAGAATTTGCCTGTCGAACGCAATATCTCTCGCATGCAGATGGCTCTGATGCCAGTGGGTGCAATATTGTGTTGTCTAGCAAAGACCACCCTCAGGAAGTCGAAGAATTGCTAGATGGAAGTGTACAGTGTGAAGTATGTGGTGAAAAGTTTCCTTCTCAGATGCTTCTGAGGCTTCATTCAAGGAAAGAACATCTTCAGTTTTCTTGTCATAAATGTGACAAGTCTTACACAAATGGTGTGGCATTAAGTAACCATTTACGAAGTCATACCCTTGGTGGAGTTAGACACCATTGCGAGTCTTGTACTAGAACATTTCCTACTTATGAACTTCTGAAAAAACACGAGAGAACACACATGAAAGAGAATGCTGCTATGACCATAATTCCTACAGAGATTGTATCCAAATCCTCTGATTATGATTCTCAAGAAGAGGCAAGTGTGCCTCTGTCAGAAATAACAGGATTTTTGGATAGACCAATCAAAGTGGAACCACCAGACAGTCCTGAAGTTATTGATGAACCGCAACCATCTCCAACACCCTCGGGAAACGCTACTTCTCAGCAATCCCATGTTTGTCATTTATGTAATGAACATTTCCCTACAATTGCTTCTTTAAGATTTCATCTGAAAGGTGTTCATTTGCATTATCAATGTCATAGATGCCCAAAGGTTTATAGTAGTGGTGTTGCTTTGAGTAATCATTTACGCAGTCATTCTTTAGGTACTTTTAAAAAGCATAAATGTTTAGCATGCCTAAAATCCTTTTCGTCACTTGAGTTGCTGACAAAACACAAGAAAATACATACCGCTCCAGGTGGCTTACAATCTCTTACAGTTAGAACTCGCAGATTAAATAACTCGGTCCCTTCTGTAGATATTGAACATCAGCTTGAACTACCAAACTTTGAAGAAAATGAGATTGAAGATGTGAATGAACCATTGGTCAAACGTACATGTACAGTATGCAATCTAGTTGCTGCTAGTCCCTCTGCTTTGGGACGCCACATGGCATGTCACACAAAGGAAAAAATGTACACATGTTCCGTTTGTCATGTTTCAATGAGCTACGCATCATCTTTACAGAAACATTATCGCTTGATTCACAATAAGCATGTAGAATTAAGAGCTATTCAGAAAAATTCTGTAGTAGATGATAATGAAATAATACCTGTGCCTGAAACGCAGGAAGTGCCCCAACATGATTCTGGGAAAATTGAAACTACTAGATCTGGTAGAAGAATTATATTCAAAAAGACATTCAAAATGGCAAGCCAGTTACAACAGGCCCAGCTGCCTCTTCCATTTGAATGTAAAGTTTGTCATCGTACTTTTGCTTATCGCTCATTTCTGTTAAGACATTCCAAGGTACATAACAAGGTGACTAAGTTGCCGAAGTTGCCAAAGTTTACTTCTGGTGTTAATTGCCCCATTTGCTTTAAGAGTTTCCCAGATGCTAAAACTCTTAACAACCACAAGGGAGTGCATACTAGATTCAAACATTTTTCATGTAATATTTGTGGGAAATCATTTAATGGTCTGAATGCATGGCAGAAACATGAACGTATGCACCAGAAAGGCTTCATATATTCATGCAAATTGTGTGGAAAGAAGTTCATTTCAAAGGCAGAACTACACGAGCACAAAAAAATGCATATAAAATTAAAAATTTATACATGTGCAGTATGCAAAAATTCATACCATAGTTCATCAGCATTAGGTAAGCACAAACGAAGACATGGACATTGGTATGCCTCTCCAGAAAATTCTGAGGTGTCAGATATAGATATTATAAATGGATATGATTTGACTGTGACAAAGGCTCCTGTTGTTAAGACAACGGTTTTTAAGTCCCCTGTTGTGAAGACCACTCTCCCAAGATCCCTTGTCAATCCTACAATAACCAAAGCTCATTTGTCTAGAAATATGACTCACTTTCCGTCTGGAAAAAGACGACCATGTTGTAATATTTGCCACAAAACATTTAGTCACTTGTCTGCCTTAAGACGGCACAAGCGATTGCATGCTTTAAAGCCAGCTATCCCAGCCACCCCAGAACAAAAATTAAATCCAAATGTGGTTGAAACAGAAGAGAATGCTTGCTTGACTTGCAACAGAACTTTTCCAGATCATGTTTCTCTAGTCCGTCATAAAGGTTGGCATACCAGGAGAGGTAATGTAATTTCTCCAGAACCTGCAGATTCTTCTACTCCTCCAGGAAAACTGCCTATAAATCCCTTATTTGTGAAGGTGGAGCCAGCTTCTAATCATCCTTATCAGTGTCCTTTGTGTCATAAAACAACATTCACAACCGGAGCTGCCTTGGCAAGTCATATAAGATCTCATGCAAATCATGCAAGAAATCGTGCAAAATCTCAGGCAAATCCTGCGAAATCACAGGCTAATCATGCAACTCAATCAGAAGCTTCTTCAAAAGCAGCTGAGAGAAGAACTGAGAATTGGAAAGCAAATGCTAATGCAGAAAAAGGTGAGGTGTTGACATCTCCCAGACGACTTGCTTGCAAGATTTGCAAGAAGCCATTTGAAAGTAAGAAAGCACTTATAACACACATAGGTTGGCATTCTAGAGATTCACATATGGGTAAACCTTTCCATTCTTACAAAAATAAGCTCACTCCCAAAATTAGTTCTATTGATAATTTTTCCTGCAATGTTTGCCACAAAATATTTAGTTCTGCTGTAATTTTGAGCCAGCATAAGAAACTTCACACTCGAAAACTTCTGTCTAGTATCAAGGAAAAATCAGAGCAGATTTCAGAGCTAACAAAAGGTGGTGCACACTATCCTTGTACAGAATGTCATCGATCCTTTAAACTTGAAAAGTACCTGCTACTTCATATGAGATTACATACAGGTGAGAAAAGGTTTAAATGTAATCTCTGTCCACAGGCGTATCATCGGTCAGGATCCTTGTGGAAGCATAAACGAACTCACCACAATGTGAAAGTATTTTCATGTCCTATTTGTCAGAAGCGATTTGGCCTTAAAATCCAGCTCACCAAACATGTTGAAACCCATCAAAATTCTGTTGATTTCTCGCATACTGATACAGTATTTGCATGTAGCAGGTGTGATAAAACATTTACAACTTTACTGAAGTACAAACAGCATGAAAGAGTTCATCATGTCTGAATATATCTTTATTTCTTGTCCATGAAATTGTTCCTTGGAGAGTGGTCCTCTCCAGTTGTAAATTTTTGATCACTAGATCAGGAATGGGAAAATTGTCAAAGGGTCATCAATGGAGCTGAGTGCGATGGCCTTTCTTTCACTTGGATGAAGTTGTTGGCTCTTTAGTTGTATCTTTAGTTTTAGTTCTTTCTGTCAGAATTATCAGCTCATCAAGGATGTATTGGAATGCTGGTTTGCATTCTGTACCCAATGAAAAATAAAAGGTTTCCCTGAATTTTCTCCGTAAATGTGAAATTTTAGGATTAAAAAATAATGTTTGGTATGGTAAGATAATTGGTGACAGTTGATACTTGATGTACTTGCCATATTTTCTTGTTCACTTGAATGCTGAACGAATTGTTATTGTGCAAATGTAGATTTATATATAATTTTGTTATACCAAGTTGTCAAGGAGGCGAAATCCTTCAAATTGGAGTTGATGTTAAAATCACTGTTGGGAAAATGAAAATTGGATAATTTACTGAAAGGTTTTTGCAAGAATATGCCTTTCACTTCATATAGTAATAGCAATGTTCTCACGTCATTTTTCTTGAGACATCACATGGACTACTCGATTCTTCTCACCGATTGTCCCGATTGCCCCTTCTCACCGATGACACCGTGATTGTGTAAGATTTTTAGAATTTAATTTTAATTCACCTGCTGTCTGTTTATTAATGTGCATTATTATGTCAGTTGAATGTTGTTCTATATTTCAAAGATGCCCTTAAATTGTGCAAAAGAACTTAAAGTAATTAAGATATAGAATAAGTAATATCTGTATATAATGTTTTCTATTGCTATTTTGTATGAGACTGCAATCAGTTTTGGAGTCAACTGAAGTGTGTATTTCAGAGAGAGAAGTTTGGCTTTCTAGTGAATATATAAAAAGTTGAAATGAATGTAGGATAATTGTTTGGATATTTACTTACTATAGAACTCTTATTATGTGATGACCTTTCTATTATTGGTTTATGATAAAATGACTCTGCAGATATAAGATATTTTGATGATAGTATTCTTTGATAAGTTTTTACAAAACTAACAATACATGTCTTCTAAATTATTCATTATTAATTTGACTCTAATGACCAAATTAATATCGTATAAAAAGAGTTCAACTTTTAAGTGAATGAAAATGAGTAGTTCTCTTTCTTTATATCAATTCAGTGAATATTTTAAGAATTTATTTTAGTATAAGTCATTTACATGTGAAGTATGAAATTAAAGTATTTTTCATTCCATTTGGGAAATCTTTGGATGACCCCCAGAATTTGTGTGAAATGATGTCTTTGACTGTACTTGTATAGCACTTTCATTGTTTTGAAACAATTGTATTTTTATCACTTTAGTTTTGTATTGCAGACAAACTCTCTTCAAATTTGGAGCTGTGAAAGTGGTATTTGAATGTACAGTAAATATTTCTCCCACAGTGTCCTGAAATTTTCAATAAAATGTTTACAAACATAATTTTATTTGTTAAGTTTGTCCAGTTGCCTCCACATAACGGCCTTTATTTCAGACTGACAATGAAAGGGGTAAGGCAGGTGTTGAGGCTATTAACATTGCAGTGGAAGTCTCCAAAAATAATCACACATTTTAGAACATACAGGTACTGGAAAAATGATAGTTTTCACCATTACAATTGAATAGTTTTACTTGAGTTGAATATTATAATTTCATAGTATAAAATGCTCACTGGCTGTAAATTCTTATAAATGGTGCAAACCAAACCTAGTATTTAAGAATTGTGGGATGTTGCTTGGGATTCAGAAAAAGCGTGGTCTCAATTTTCCAAAGCAGTGAGATAATATGGCAGTCATGGACAAGATTAATATTATTGGGAAAAGGTCCAAATGCAACTACATTTCAGCCTCCAAGTTTGTATTTTTAGTCCATTTTCATAAAATTTAAATTGATTTCTTTGCTTTTTTTATTTTGTCATATATGCAATATAGAGAATGTATCAAGTTATTATTGCAAAAAGCAGGGCTGGATTAACAAAAGCCACCGATAGTAACACATTTTTATACTTACTATGTATACTAATTAATCAAATAGTTTACATACAATATAACAATTATGAAATGTGAACTTTGAACAATTTTTTCTATTATCTCATTAAAATAATTTAGAGCAAAACATTCTAAACTCGTGGGAATAAGGTTAGAAACACTATATTTGTCCATACTTGTGCGCAATCGATTTTTCACCAAACTTCAGTTTAGAAAATGACATTATATAAGTTATGACAAAATTTTCTCGTGTATCTCTTTTCCAGTTGATTTTTTTAAAAATTTTTTTGTGGGGTCCCGTGGGCTACAACCTCTGCAGCTCTGCCTTGAATCCGGCCCTGGCAAAGAGTAGTGTTACAAAATTCGATGTTGATATTTTATTGAAGTACATTTTGGAGGTCACTTCCCCATCTCCAAATTGTTTCTCTTAATTTTCTCGAATTGTACAAAATGTTCTTACAACAATAGTGCAGGTTTGATGTTCAGTAAATCCTGTGAATTTTGCAGAATTGTAACTGAAATTCAGATCATGCCCAATTTTAAGAAAAAAATGAATAGTTTTCTGTGTAATTTTGCGTGTATATGGGCAATTTAAAAAAAAAATCTCAAAAAAAAAAAAATTCCTAAATTATTTTCTCGATTAGAGAAAAGTACTGTTGTAAAAAATGGCACAGCCCTTCGAGTGACCTATTTCTAGGATGTGGACGCAGCCTCAGGCCTGTTTCCACATTTCTCGGTATACTAGTCTGCTCACGGTCGATCTTGGGGTCAGCAAGGCGAAGTTTTACCGAGGGTATTCGTGCTTTTGCATTCGCCGAGCAGCAGATATACGTGAAGGTTCGCTCTCTTTGATGAGCCCCACACATTCATCGTTCGCCGAGCAGCGAGCTACCGCTCGTCCAATCCCGAATAGCTTATGTGTTCGGCGAATGTTCGCTCCCTTTGTGTCCTAAAGTCTGCCACGCGGTGGGAAGGGCGAATGCCGAATGTTCGGCGAATCACAAAAAACTTGTCCACAGTACTCGGGATTCGCCGAATGCTGCTTGTGTGGAGTAGGGATGCGACATAGTTGTCGATGTTTTTGTAGAAACATCGATATATTAACACTGATGTTTTGTTTCTGAATGAAGTCCCATAAACACAATAGAGAAAGAGTTAAAATATGAAATAATTGATGGTAACACTCTTATTCATGTGCTGGAACCGAAGGACCGATGTTTGTACTACTTTCACCGAGATGACCTCCGGGCAGGGCCGGATTTACCTACAAGCAAAACAAGCAGTTGCTTGGGGGCCCCCATTCACCAGGGGCCCCGCGTTTCGGAAAAATACTGTAAAATGAGAAATAAAAATATGTAAAATGTATTTAATGTAAAAAAAAACTAACAAGTAAAAATTTCTATAAAAAATTATCAGTTTTCATTTGTATCTGTACAGAAAGTACTTGTACTATAATACATTTTTTATTAAATAAAGATGGAGCTATTTTTTTGCGGGGGGGGGGGCAACACAATTTTGTGCTTGGGGCCCCGCACTACTTAAATCCGGCCCTGCCTCCGTGCCTTTGTATTTCCTCTTCATAATAATTTCGCACACTGAGATGTGGTCAACTTATACGCTGTGGGTGAAGGGTCTGCTGCTCCTCGCACCCTTATTCGGCGAATTGATAAACACTACAATGTCAAATTAAATGCTCGCGAATTTAATGTTAGAAGCTGCTACTACTCCAGTTTGAAAAACGTCGATGTATTTTTAACATCGATGTCGCATCACTAGTGTGGAGTCGCGTTTAAGGCCGACTTGCATGGGTTGTAGGGTGAGCACTGAATGTTCGTCGCTCGGCAAAGAGCTAGCAACTCATCCACATTAGACCCTATTCGGGATTCGTCAAATGGTCCCTCACTAATCGTTGACTAATGAATATGTGGTGTTGTCTTTTTTTGGGCAAGTAGGTTTTCGCTAACTTATCGAGCATTCCACCATCTTGTCTTTTGGGATGAAAAAAATACGCTATCTTCCACTCTGCCTTAAACGTCCCGTCATCGCCAATCCAGTTTTTCTTCTTCGAAACAGCCATGTCGTATGCAGGTAAACAGAGACACGCACCCCAACAACCACTGTCAGCAGGACTGGGATTTTTATGGAATAACACGTACCTACTCATAATTATGCACAATCAGATGACTAAAAATGTGGTTGAATATGGTGTAAAATTACTAAAAATTGAATAAGTTATTGAAAATAATGGTTAGTAAAATGTCTTGAATTACATAAACAGAACGGTCAAAGAACTGAAGTTTAATATTCGCTGTAGAACAAAATTTAATCATGTACATACTATAATACACTGAATGTGTTTCTCAAAGTATCTTCCTTAGTTCTGTACCCGTAACACAGGTACATAAAATAACAAAGTCGGATCCAAAGACTTTACACGTGTTTCTCTAAATCTGAATGTGAAGCCAGAATTGCGGCATCACCCTCACCAGATTTTTTAAGACGCGAAAAACTACCATGAAATTGTAAATTTAGAATAAAAACAAACAAACTAAAAGATGGTACCGCAGTTCTGATTCATCGGATTCGGATTCATCATGTGTGAAGTCTTTGGGTCTGACAACACTTCCGAAAACAACTAAAATTGCCCGTTCTTTTGCGATTAAAAAAAAACACGAGGGTGGTGGCACAATTCTGGCTTCAAATTCGGTTTCAGCGCGTTGATATAGTACGCAGCAAAACATGTGTCAAAGTCTTTTTCCAACAACCTCCCCCCCCCCCAAATACAATGTCACGCTGTTTTTTCTCGATTTAAAACATGGAAGGCGATGCCACATCTGCTTTCAGATTCGAATTCACCACGTCGAGATACATAGCGAAACATGTGTCAAATCTTTTGAGTCTGACTTTTTTGCCTGTAATTAACTGTGGGCCACACATGTTCCACTGCCCTTTTATCTCACATTTCTTTGTACTAGCGTATACACCGCTCAAAATCAGAAGTAATGATAAACTTAATCTTGCAATACTATATGTGGAATTAGGTCCAGAATTATTTCTTGACCCGAATTACCAGTTTAAATTTAATTAAAAGTTAAAAATAATCTTCTAGGAATAATGTTGAAAGACTAGAAATCTCTAGTACAAACACTTTGCAAGTAAACTGTTTAAATATGCAATGACATATGAGATATTCTTAAAACTGTGAAAATATGTACGATACCTGGAAGTACGGATAATCAAATAAGTTTCTAATCGCTTTAAGAAGCTTAATTTGTAAAACATGCGACAAAATTTTTGTCGTAACGTATCTACGAATGATATATAGTTACACACAAATCCTAGCCCTGCTGATAAGCGAACTGAGCTGACTATTGATAGAGCGAGCCGAACAACCGTCGCTTATCAGCAGATACTAGCACCTAATATAGGTCTCTCTGGGGCGTGTCTTGTACTACCCTCACGTTTTTTGCCAAAACGCACTATTCCCGCTTTTAATCTATCACAATTTAATTTTTTTGTATATGACACTCAGAAGTAAGTGTAAATCTTTCAAGTGTAATAATTCTAATAATAACTACGGTAGAAACATTGAGAAAACAGTCAACTCGGTTGGAATCATTAGTCAGGAAACTAAAAAATAATTTGGAAAGAATGACAGGAGAAGCAAGCGTTTTAATGAGCTCAGACTGCGGGGGGGGGGGGGGGGCTATGCTAGGCACCCCACCGGGCCTCTGCAGTCGGAGGTTTTCAACAATCCTTAATAAATAGCTCCTGTTCAAAAAAATCGAAAGTACGTATTCTGTGGTAAAAAATCCGCAACAAATTACATCTTAACTGCATATTTAAAACAGATTTAATTTATTTAGTCAAAAAAGAGTAAAAAAAAACTGTATGTGACCTATGGGGGGGAAAGGTCTTATGCGTTTGCTTGATCTAGGACCCTTCCCAACATTTTTACTATACATAGTTGAAGAATGAATAAATTAAAATAATAATGATATTAATTAAATTTAAAATCGCGAAATTAGCCATGTTTGAAAAACTAGACATTCGTTCCCGAGTTATAACACACTTGTATCGGCA